AAGTGGGGATTGTATCCAACAATCTGCAATGGATTAAATCCAACCCATTTGATTTTAACTGCTTTAATCAGGGTAAGATCCCTATATCTACTATTCCAAATCAGATTTTTTTAAATAGATAATAATAATAATAATCCTTGCCCCTTATCACATTGGAAGAATGTCTCAAAGTGCTTCACTGGATTTACTGTGAGATTTGTAGGCAAATTAGTAACAGGGCAGGTGTGTTTGGATGCGTAAAAATATACAGGGTGTCTTGTCTCTTGTTTCATTTTAGCGTCAAAGGATTAAAATAGGCTAATGACAGCATGACAATCACCTCAATGGAAATATAATCTCTGAATGCTCAAAACACTGCCATTTTTACCGTGTATATTTTTTCGGTTATTAAAATTCCAGAAAAGAGAAGATAGCTAACTCTCTGACTAAACTGATGGTCACAGGTTATGCAACACATGCAAACACTTGTGAGCAATTTTTAAAATCTATTTGATTTGTGAGGTTGTTTACAAGAACTGCACCAGTAGCTAGGTGGATTAGCTGGTCACTACATTTTTTCATCTCACTCCCTCTCCTGAAGGCAATCACCCAAGTGGCCATTCTTCAAGTGTGCATCTAATAGGGTGACTAGTTAACGATACAAGAGTAGGGCTTGCTCCCACACTTGTCTCTTGCCTGTAAGTGGCACTCTTAAGATTGCTAACAAAAACTTCACAAAAGCATGAGTTTGCAATAAAGCAGAAATTTGCCTCTTGTGAACCTACCTCCTCCCATCTGCCTCTGGCTGAAGTTTGAGACCCATGAATACAGAAGTGGATTAAGCTTCATTGTTACAGATCCTCAAACAACTGTGTAATTGGAGACCTTGTGGCATTAAGTATTTTGCCTGGGTTGCCCAGAGCAATTCAAAGTACAATTGACCTTTTGATCAGTCCATAAAATGACCGATAGGCCATTTCAGGGGTCAACAAACAGATGTTTTTTTGTTCTGCTGTGAAAAGTATAAGCAGTAAAACAAATTGGACAAGTATTCTCAATACAATAGTCTGAAAGAGATTCAAAAACGCAGCCCGCCCTCGTATTGCCAACGTTACTTCTCTTCGGGTGATTAAAGTCAGCCGTGACAAACAGATCAAACAATATTTTAAAACCAGGCATAGGATCAGTAATTGATGGTTGGAAATAGATATGTATGTTACAACATTTTAGTGTAATGTTTGATTTAATTAGTATTAATATGCAAAAAGGGGAAAACAAAGTAAAGAAAAATATAAATGTTAAAATGTGGAACAAAAGATATCAACATCACACCATATAAGGCAGAACAAGAATAGTGCAACAATAACAATCATTAAGGCAGGTATCTAAGGTAAGAGTTATCAATATAGATCTCAAGACTAGAATACTTGTCGTGAAAGTTTCTAAAGGGCCAAGCGGAGAAGAACTATAAGAGGTCTATTCAGGACCAGTGTTGGCGTTGCTGCTTGGGACTGAGACAGTAAACCATGGAGTCTATTATCTTCCCATCCCTCACATCCTGAAATGACAAACACCAACCCACAACTGGGAGGGCAAGCAGTGACCTGCTCTCAGACCCCTGTGAATGCTGTTATGAGCCAACTGCAAGGAGGTCTATGAGAATGACCTTAATACAACGCACTTCCTTGTGAGAAACCTCTGAACAGTTCTTTGGTTTCGTGCACAGCTGAGGTTGTAAAGTTCTTGAAGAAGGAATCAAACATGTGAACTGAACTTGGGTGTCCTCACATTCTCTAGGTCTGATAAACCAGAACAGGTTTTGATACATATGCCAAATACTTCATGGATCTTTCCAAGTGATTTAGCATGTTCCGGGAACTAATTCACTTAATGTATAATTTTCACACCAAGAGACTTGGGTGCATTTGAATTCTGCGCTAACAGCTCTTAAAGTGAATAATTGTGCTACTAGCATGTCACATGTCATTCCTTGACACTTCTCTTTTCACTTTGGTAAGTTGCGAGGCATGTTGTAGCTATGCACAGTATGGCTTTACATTATCACTTTGAGCCACATTGTGATTGAGTACAGATGGAGTAAACATTATTGCAGCAAAGCGTCAAAAGAGAAATACTGCATATTGTGATAGATTTGCTTTCTGTACAGGTGTGGCCAATGCTCTGTTGAGATCCATGTTGGGACCCACATCTGGATATTACATACTGAGGTATTTGAATACATATGGCATTGCATCTAGTTGACGCATTTGCCAAGGAATATATTAATAATAGTAATCCTTGCATTTGATATAGTGCCTTATCACGTCTTCAAGACGTCTCAAAGCACTTCACAGAATATACTGTAAAGTGAATTGATTGTATATTTTGTGGTGAAACACGGCAGCCAATTGTGCTCAGCAATATAAACAGTCGTGAATTGAACGTTGGCATGTTATCGGTTACATTTCAAGTTTTCTCTGTATTACATTGTTCTACATCATTTGCATTCATTGCACCTATTACTAATATTTCTATTCAAACCATGAAACCCAACACTCCTGAAGGCTAGACTCATGATTAATTGGCATAGCCTGAATGTTTGTTGATAACTGAGGTGCACACTGTTCTCTGCATATTCAGTGCAATCATAGCAAATGCATAATACAAAGGCCTTGAAATTTCTTTTCTATTTTCTTCCTGTTGTACCCAGCTATAAAGCCTGGCAAAAATCAATGTGTCTGGCTGGTTCCTCAGCATAGCATTTACTGATGGAGCCTAGAAGCTTGTTGCATTTTAAGTATTGAGCACACATGCCATAATTTAGTGTAAGCTCTCTAGCCACATGATAGATATTCCTAAAAAAGCAAAATAGCTAGAATTTTGTTAAGAATAGTAATCATAAATAGTGTTGTATATTTCAAATGACTTTTTACCCCCCCCCCCCCCCGTGTGCCAGGAAGATATATGTGCACCTAATCCTTTTAATCTGCCAAGCATCCTGTAAGGTTAGCAGACATGATCACTTCTCAATTTGTGAATCTCATGGGCATCGGTGTACTGACATTGTTGAAAGTGTCTGTTCATTCCTTTTCTAATTATCATATTCACCAGACTGCAGACAGTGGAAGGTCAAGAGCATCACTTTACTTCATGACCTTGGCTAGAATTGTATCAGCCAATGAAAGTCATGGAAGCAGATAATAATTGGAAAGAGAAAGTGGTAAATAGAATGCTAAGCTACCTGCGACTTTCATATTCTGCATTTGAAATTGATGCAAGCCGATACCATTTGAATTCAGACAGTAGTTATAATGATCATCCCATAGTTGCAGAACATCTCTGGTGCTGCATATACAATGATTTGGGCAATGCAGTGGGAATTCAGATGTAATGGAGGAATGATTCACGAATGTAATAAATGCATTATCAAGATGGCCTGTTTATTTATGTTTACTCACATTCACGTTTACTCTACATACAATGCTGTTTTTCTTAGCTGGTGTTCTTAATTAATAGATCCAAAGAGAACTTCTCCAGTAACTGGAAATACATGGCATTGACTTGAAGGAACCTAATGCTGAAAGTAGATTCATTTGAAGTTGTGTTCCCGAGTTGACATGATATAATCCACATTACTTAATGAAAAATTTACCCTCATTGATTTCTCCAACTGTTGCTACTTGTGTTCTAGGGCAGGATGGTCTAGCTACAAGGTTCCACATGCTGTTCTTTGGTCACTTGACAGGGGATGTGCTTTAATCAGTGCCTTCTGCAGTGGAGTGTTCTGCAATCATGAAATGTGTGACCTTGTCAAGAGCCAGTGAAGCTTGCACATAGCAGAGAAGCAAGTTGAATGGTAGTTGGTATATGGATTAGAACTCAGCCTCTCAAAGAATGGTCATTCAAGTCTGTGAACTCAAGGGAATCTTGTGGTGTATTATACTTCCAAGACTCAGACAAGGAAAAGTTAGTTTCAGGTAGAGGATTGATTTACAGTAGCTGCTTTTTAAACTCAAGATTTTCACAGATATGTAGAGTTCTTTGGCCTCATTAAATAATGAGTTTCCTCTGGCTCGAACTTTACAGTCCCATTTTGCCCCTAGTATTTCAAAGTCAGAGCTGGGACAGAGATTCATTTGCTATGCTTAATTCATTTGGAAATCCAAATATTTAAGTGCTTCTATATATAATACTTGCATTTGATATAGCGCCTTATTACGTCTTCAAGACGTCTGAAAGTGCTTCACAGAATGTACTGTAAAGGGAATTGACTGCATTTTGTGTGCAAAGCAGACAAACGGTCGTGGATTGAGTGACCAAATTATTAGTTTTTTTTTGAGGAATTATTACCCCCGGAAAAGTGATTCATCAATCGACTAACAACCGGGTTCCTACTCACTGCTAGGTAAACAGAGACATGTGGAGTAAGGAAACTTGCCCAACATTTCGCGCTGCTGGGAATCGAATCTAGGTCTCCTGCTTGCGAGGCAAGTGCTCTAACCACTAAGCTACAGGGCTCCACTTCTATTAGTTGCCCCCATTTCTAAACAGAGAGTATTTTGCAAATTAAACATGTTCTCTGCATTTATCAGTCACTTGGCAAGAGGTCAGTTTTCTAAGGAGGATCTTATGACTACCCATTTTCCTCATAATTCAGTAAAGGTTGTGTTTTAGCTTGCTGTTAAAATATGCGATAAGGTTGGTGTGATTCTCACAATAGTCCCAGGCCCACCAACAACAAAACTAAAATTGTGCTATGTGGTTGAGGGTAACAGCATATGCTTTCATTGAGGCAGTGTGTAGAGAACCAGTTACTAAATACACATCAACTCCGTCGAGTGTTATTTTTGGAATTGAAAATATAAAGCAAAACGTGCAGTAGTGGATCTTTGTTTTGATCAATGTTCTACATCGTGTTTGTGGAATAGACAATTGGCATGTACCAAAAAANTGTGTTTTGCTGTTTTCCATTTTAATGAACCATCTTAATATGTTTTTTTCTTGGTTGTTCGTTTGGGCAGGGGCGTTGTACTCGAGAAAATTGCAAATATCTCCACCCACCCCCGCATTTGAAAACACAACTAGAAATCAATGGGCGTAACAACCTAATCCAGCAAAAGACAGCAGCCGCCATGCTGGCACAGCAGATGCAGTTTATGCTGCCAGGCACACAGCTGCAGCCAATGGTAAGTTGAAGTTTATTTACTGAATTTGCACACCACATCCGGTCAAAAAAATATATATATCTGAAACACACCCGCAAGCACAGTTTGATAATGTTGATGACACATTATCAATAAAATCTAGTCAAGTTTCCGATTTGCAGGACTGTAGCAGCGTTTGAGTAGTTGAAATCTCCTGTGTGTGAAATTGACTGTTGTCTGAAATGTCATGTCAGCTCTGACATCTGTCTGATCTCATATATTCTCCCTCTTGGAGTCCGGGCATGATGTTCACTTGTACTTGCTAATCTATCTCTCACCTGCTTTACTGCAATGGGAGATTTGTTTTAATGCTGTGCCTCGGTCAAAAATGTCACTGCTAAATCAGAACTTTAAAAAAAAGATGTTTGAAGAAATGTAATTTTAGACCACTCAATGGGCAGGCAGATAAATGAAAAATGTATAGCCATATCTCTTAGACACTGTGCCTTTGGACAATCGTAAACAGGTTGTGTTTTAAAATGCACAAATATCACATCAAACCGATTCACAGAGCTTTTGTAGAACCATAAAGAAAATTTCCCTCATTCTTCTCAATGAATTGTACATAGATACAGTACTTTTACAGAAATGTTGCCTTGTGGCCATATTCACCATAATCCCACTGTTAACATTCACTTGGAGTCTTCCGACTGCAAATTAGTATTCATGAGCTATTCACAAAGTCAGTAAATCCACAAAATCAGGCGACACCTCAGAAAACCAAATTACAGAAGACTTCAGGTGTTGTTAATTACTGGCAAAAGAAAATATGGCACGGCTTTCCACTGTTTTCTATTTTCAGACTATGTCTCTCTAAATTTTCCTCTTCCATTTCCCTCCCCGCCACCGCACCTTCTCCCGATATTTTTTCCTGCAGTGCACACAATGAAATAATTGTTGCTTTTGGCTGACCAACTTAGAGGAATCTTGTTCCTCTCCCAAAGATTGTTATTTCTGTACTCAATATCAGCAGCTACTAATTGTGATACTGATTCTTTGTTTGATCACCCTTCCACTTTCCACATTTCTTTCACGCTCATTTGTTTTTTTTTCTGTTTGAACGATTGTCGAGGTGGAAAACTTTCCAAAACTACTGAATATCCAACGAGACAATGGCACCTCTAGATATTTCCCACATTTATTTATTTAAACCCAATTTTTGGAGAAAGCACTAGGCATCAGTATGAATACTGACTGCTCCACAAATCCATTTTTGTCATGAAACTGAAGATCGTTCAAACACATTTCTATCGCTGCTTGATAATGGAGCTACTGTTTCCTGTTCTTATATGCAAGATCATATATGTGACATTGTAACAGGTAATTAAGTTTTGTTGAAGATTTTACATGACGTGCTTTGAGGAGGTTAGAGTTTAGCAAAAGGTATGTTGAAAAGATTTGATTGTTGAATTATTTTGAAATGAAAAAGAGATACTACACTGTCTGTTTGGATTGAAAATGTTGTGTAAACAGGGATTACATTCCAGTGTGCTATAAATGTGCTTTTCAAACTTTTATCCATAGACCACATTTCCTGTAACTCCATCTTTAGCAACAAACCCCACAATGGCTTTTAGTCCCTACTTGAGTCATATGGCACCTGGAATGGGTTTGGTTCCTACAGAACTTCTACCAAACACACCTGTTCTGGTGTCAGGGAACCCTACTATTACAGTTCAAGGAAACACTGCTTCACAGAAGCTAATAAGAACAGATAAGTTGGAGGTATCAGTATTTATACTATGTATGTTCTCGCATTGTGTTACAACTTTGGCTTACTCTGCCTCATAATATTTCTCTTTTTGAAAGATGAATTGCTATTGTAGTTAGTTCTGTAGGAAATCTCTGTTTAAAATATTTTTGAATTTGCGGAAAGAAGAAGCTGTATGATAACCCGGGCACTCCCATGGCACAAAGTATTGGAATACTTGTGCATTGAATCATAAAGTTTTGTAGAATACAGGGTTGTACCAGCGAGTACCCACATGTTGAGTTCCTAACCTCTGAGGAAGGTGCCAAACAGAAGCAGGCCATTTCAGAAGAGGAAGGGAAAGAGATTCAGATAGCAGGTTAACCTGTAAAGTAGCGCTCTGAGACTCTACCCTGTGTGGAGGGCGCTAAATAAGTGCAAGTTGTTGTTATTAAGGTCATTTGGTCCATCAAAAACAGTTGTTAATGATCTTTATATATAATATATATATAAAACATTAAGAGAGTACAAATTAAATGTACTGTTAAATTAACTGAATAACCTTATTTAATGTTTTTGGTAATTGCATTGTGCTCAATTGTGTGATTCAGTAAATTAAGGAGAACATTGTCCTTTCACCACTGTCACTGTGTGAATCCAAATTGGATGAACAACCACTCTCACCGATGGCTGTAGGTTCTTGAAACACACAAGCCTCCATGATTTCAGCTATGTTCCCACTGGATCCTTGCATTTGCATTTGATGTGGATCCAGACCGCAAAGTGCTTATAATTTAGTATAAATTGTCAATCTCGACATTGACAATGCTGAGATCTGGGACTCTCCAGAAGTCGAATTTCAGTTAGAAAGCCCCACTCTAGACCTCTGGGACACAGAGTACCAAGTCCCAAAGCTTGAGCCGGCATACTGCAGAACTCATGTTTTTGCAGCTTGCAGGTTTACAAGATCAGTTTCAGATTAATAAGGTTCTTCAGCCCATCTGATCTCATCCCTACAGCACACTAATCTTACCATCTACCTATCACAGCACCAAGCTGTTTTCTAAATTAATCCAGTATCCTGACTTCAACTGACCCTCCTGGGAAAGATGTGATTTTTCGAGTGCCATTCATTCTGCAAATATTCTAGTTTTACAGTTGAAAGTAAACTCAGCTGTAAACTCTTCCTGCATCGATCCTACTCATCCCTACTCGTAACAGTTGATTCCTCAGATCACAGAGAAAATATGAAGAGTGAATAAACAAATTACAGTCTACTGAAATTGATCTCCACCGTGAGCAGAATGAATCGCACTGAAAATCTTAAATATTATTAACTGACTTCTTTACCCCCTATCTCCGACGTATGAAATTGCTCTGGGGCAATGTTAATTAATAATTTAACAATTTAATTCTAATTTGATATTTCATTTTTGGTATTTCAACTTTAGGGGAGAGGAGAAAAAACATATCTTGAAAGCCAGTTTATTGACCTTAAATGTTCCGACAAAAAGCAAATTATTCCTAACATTCTTCAAACAGTTGCTAACGACTGGTTTCATTAGGTTTGCAGGGAATTTCAGCGTGGAAATTGCACTCGGGGTGAAAATGATTGCCGCTACGCACATCCAGTAGACATTTCAATGATAGATTCAAATGAAAACACTGTTACAGTTTGCATGGATTATATCAAGGGTCGCTGCTCAAGGGAGAAATGCAAATACTTTCACCCTCCTGCGCACCTGCAAGCCAAAATAAAAGCAGCTCAACACCAGGTGAACCAGACTGCAGCTGCTGCTATGGTAAGTAACAATGTAAGGAGGCTTGTAAGAAGTAGCTTCAACTTTTTAATCTAATCTAGTGTAACGTGCTATTCATTTTTAAACATTGTTTAATATACGTTTTAATATAATGCCTCCTTCTGTATTCTGTTTTCCAATTATCCTTAAATTATTATTTTATTCACAATATGTTTTTGAACAATTCAACATAACAATGAAAGATTATTAATTTCAACTGCGCTAAATTAACTGTAGAATTTGATTTTATTAGAACATATTTCAGAAAAAACTTATATTCCTTTAACAAGTATGAAATTGCGTTTTTTTTATTGCTGTAACATTGTCAATTCTGTTTTTGTTTTTGCGATAATTTAGATTACAATTGTTTAACCACTGTTCCTTGCTAGTTCAGTTTTATCATGATCCTCGATGTTCGTGTTTCCTGCAAATTAATCCGAAGTAAATAGCAATATCCTCAGAAATGAAAGATTTTTTGACATGTAAATTATATTTTTATAAAATGTAAACATATTTAAACATATTACCTGCTTTACACCTTGTGACAGTCCTAGCCATTCTTGTTCTGCTTTGTGCTTGTCAGTGGCAATGCTAGATAGCTTCTGGTTTTGCATTGACAGCGATGCCTCAAGCTTAAACTCTAAAAAGCATTATTCCCTGCAATAGGTGATCGAGGTGTTAAGTCCTGTTTGCAATATTTTAGTGATCTGCAAACACCCACATTGCTGCAAGTGTTTTTTTNACACAAATGGATATTTTGGAATAAAATTCTGCTATTTGTGCAAAATTGGTGGCCACCGATGGCCCAATCTTTGCATATCCGCCAACTTTTTCTGAGTGAAGACTTTGATAATGAACACGGTTGAATTAAAAGCCCGAGTAGGCCTGCCACTTTCTGTGCGTGTGTGTGCGCGTGTGTGTGTGTGTGTGAAGCAGGTGACTGGCAGCAGTCCGGCGAGAGACGAGGTGTGTTAGACGTTTACATTCTAAACTCCCGTTCTTTTTTTTTAAAAAAAAATCCCACAGCAACACCAAAAAAAGCAAGATCAAATATCTTATTTTGTGTTGAAGTTTTATGTATCGTTGCATTTTTTTAACTTTTTTTTGTTGTTGTTTTAAAGTTTGGGTTTTCTTTTAGTATTTTTTTTGTTAGTGATTACAAACATTGACGTGACAACGGCTCGCTCGTACCCTGGGCGTATGGGAGCAGGATTGTCAGTTTGTAATTGTTCGGCGTATTTATAGCCTGTTAACAGTAACAGTAGCGAGAGACATCCTTTGTTCTGCATGCTTGGTCTTTTTTAATATGTTGTATAATGCATTCAGATTGTTTTTTTTTCTCTTCACCTGTCCACCAATGCATTGCTGTCCCTATGACGCACCTCTGCTTGCTGTTTATGTTAATGCGCTTGAACCCATTGGCCCATTGCCATCATGTGCTCGCTGCCTGCTAATTAAGACTCAGCCAGCTGTCAGATCACTGAAGCGACCCCTCGAGGCAACCTTTGACCTGGTACTTGGACCTTTCACCTTCTTGCTTTGCATGTAGCTTTTGTGAAATATGTTGTGAAAAGAAAGCATGGTTGCTTTTCATTTATTGGTACCATTATCAACCCTTAGGACACTGCCGTTGTACGTCGATCTGTTTAGAAATGTGCTACCCGAGTGCAAAATTGGTACCATGCAATCTCCTAAGGGTTCATCATAGCAACAGAGATACATCCGCAGTGAAACCTGTTTCTATAGCTTGATGAACCCAAAACAACAGATGCATTGTCTGCACTAATAAAAAAAAACCTCTATCGGAGGTGCTGCCTTTACTTTTTGTCCAGCTTGTGTTTGTTTCCCTTGGAACATAATCTAAAACAGAACTAAATCTTATAAATTGCAAATAAACTCATTGATCTCCAATTTAAGGAGGCAACGTACAGTCCAGAAAATAGTGAATTAACACCGCACCTAAAACAGGTTTGACTGTTAATGATGTGATTTTGGCAAAAAGTGGATCCCTGATCATTTTATTTAATATAATTAATCTAAATGTGCTTTAAACTCCTTGCAATCAATTCCAAATTACATCTTGGTGAAACTCCAATAACATTACAAGGGTTTGAAAGAGCATTCTAAAAAAAACACTATGTTAAGAAAACATACCACTCCTCGAAATGACAAGAAATCCTGGAAATATCATCAAACTATATATATGAATTGTAACATGCCCCACACAGTATATGATGACTAAAATAACAGTTACCAGTGACTGCAACATGAGCTCAGATGCCCTTCATAAATCTGAACTCTTCAACTGAAACTTACTTGCAGGAATCCATTATTCTACACTTTACAAAACAACTTTATATCTAGATCGGTTGACATCAGCTGCCACATTGCCACAATCACTGTGTTATTTTGCAAAACAGCTACAATTACTTTAGTCTCTGATTACTGCTGCTTAGAACAAGCATTTTGTTGTTATTGTTGCTATAGATGCTTCTTTATGCTTGTAGTTGTCTGCAGGGTTCCCGTTAATGTAAAATGTCAGCCTGTTTTCTTTAACTGCAATGCCCCCTACACTCAAAGTGGTGCTGTGCTTTGAAGGCTGTCAATTGTGCATCATAAGACAAAATAGAAAATCAACTTAAAACTGTATTTATACTTTTTATATATCACTTTGGAACTCACTTAAACTAGATAAAAATGTACTTTTTATTTCCCAGATTTTTGTAGTAAAACAAATGTAGAAATGTTTTTTTGAGGCTGTTTGTTAATGGTTTACATATTTTATGAAATGGGACCTGGCTCTTTAGATCCCATTAAGTCCCAAATGTCAATTTTATAATACTCTAGCGAGAACCCTAGCGAAGTTCTGTTATCTTTATTGAGTAATTTGCATATATTTTAGATTTTCATAGTATTTAGTTGCTAAGCTGCAAATGCATTATTTTTCCTATCATTTCATTGCTGTCAGACTCCCGCCAGTCCAACCTTTTCTCACTTTAAGCTTGGTAAATCATGTCCTGTGTTTAATGTCAAAGTGAAGATGGTTAAGCATTCACTTCCACTAGTGATTCTCAAAGCTTTTTACTGCCTTTCATGTTTCTCTCACTTGTATTCTTTCACAATGCCTTGCAGCTATTGTCTGCTTCTGCTGCTGCCTTGCTTAGCTATACAGTTGCAGGAGAATGGCAGGCCAAGTTTTTTGGTGTGTGTTTTGTGCATGCTTCATTTTTTTCTACTTGTCTTAATCAATTGCTCATCCACAGGCCCTCCCGCCTGGTGCACTTCAACCTTTACCAAAGAGGCCAGCACTTGAAAAAACCAATGGTGCCACCACAGTCTTTAACCCCAGTGTTTTCCACTACCAACAGGCTCTAGCTAATATGCAGCTGCAACAACCAACATTCATCCCAACAGGTTAGTTCCTAACTGTACACTTAATCTTATTATTTTTATAAGGTGGCTTTGCAAGACTTTGCTATGGGTGGCTTTAACCCACTGAGGGATGAACTGGTTATCAAATCACATTTAAATCTAAGTAACATTCAGTTGATTATTTTGTTTTTGTATCTTTGTTTCTGCATTTAAAGGAGCTATAGTTTTTGTAGATATAAGTTCCGCATGCGTTACAGCCTCTGAATTTTTGGAATACTTACTAACTTATATTTTAATTTAAAGGGTTAGGGTTCTTCACTTAAGTAATTTCACCAATTGTGAGTGAAGAAATGCCGATCTATATTAGTGTTCTGAGCTACATTTTCAGACCCACCGGGACGCCTCATGGCTATTATTATTTGCAGCACAATTCTGCCACAAAGCCATCTTGCAGATAATATTTTATATTTTTAAATTCCTTGAAGATATTCAACAAACTTCTTATGGCCGATTCATTGCTCCAAATAAGAAATGTTTCAGAGGCTTTCATCAAAACATTTCCTAACAATTACCTTGGTACAAAATCCAGTGTGGGTCACACCACCAATGTTCTTGGCTGATATGGATTATTCATATTATTAACTCACTAAACATATTGATATAAGCAAATCAGAGATGTTTCTCTCCAAAGGAAAGACATCCAGTAAAGATATGATTAATATTTGAATAGTCTGGCAAATACAATGGTGTAGCTCCTTTAAAACAATTATTACTTGACTTCACATAAAGTCTTATATGAAGTTTTGTGCAGTTTTAATAAATGCATTAGCTCTTGTGATGACAAAACCTGCTGTTGTTTTTCAAACATATTGTCTGGTTCAGTATTATTTGGTGTGTTCCTCTTTTTGAGTCACTGTGACTCTTATAGTTTTCAATTTATAAAGTACAGGTAAAATACAGACACTGGAGAACTGATGCTTTTCAAAATTAATCATGCACCTTCTGTCTGCAAACAATGCACAGGCAGTTCAATCATGCTTTTAGTTGTTTCTCTTATAATTTTAGAATAAATTGTAGTTTCAGTTTCCATTAAAACTAAATTCTCACCTTGCATGTGCTGAAGTAATGAATATTGTGGCTCTATTGGCCAAAACCTGTTTTCAATTACAATGAGTGTGAACACTAATGGGTCTCTAACCAATGTTCCTTTTTTATTTATCCTTCCACGCTTCACTGCATGATCTGCAGGGTCAGTGTTGTGCATGACTCCCACTGCAAATGTTGGTAGGTTTCAGCTTTCTCTCTCTAATTTTTTTCTCTCTTTCTTTAACCTCTTCTCCCCTCCCCCCTCACAGTTTCAAAATCCACTGTATGTTTGCGCTAATCGCTTAAGATTGTTAATTTCAGTCAGTATTTCAGTTCACAGAATTTTTCTCTTGTACAATGCAAAGGTATCAGTGATTAATGCAACCATTTGAGATTTCATTTACACTTTAGGATTTTAGCACCTAGACACAGAGTTTGGATAAGGTTTATAGGCTCACTAAATGGAGATCAGTGCTAAAGGAAAGGATTAACCGTGGTTCAGATCAAAGGTTAGAACTAGTCTAGTCAGTTTGGGTTTCTGGTTTCTGGAATAGATTTTCTCTGAATAATTTACCAAATCCCTCTAGTGTTTAACTTCCATTAGTGACGCTCCATCACTCTCAGACTCCTGAAAAAGTCTGTTGTTATGGCTAGATTAATTAATGGAACAATTGATCACTTACACCAACATGGCCAAAGAAATACAGGAGAGATATATTTATTGTTTATACCCACAGTAGGAATTTGCTTTGCGTATTGGAAGATAGAAACTACAGTTTGTTGATAACATTTTTGTACATTTGAAAAGCCAACCTAGCTCGCTGTGCTATTTATTTTCTGAAGTAAAACACTTTAATCATCTGTTGAAAAGAATGAAACGGAGCCCGGCTATGAAATTTTAATAGAGCAGAAACGTGACAAGTGTTTGAGAATAGTGGCAGAAGAAAATTACAGATAAATCCTTGCAGACATTGCAAAACAATCTGAAGAGAAATTAAATCAGGCAAACGTAGAACAATAACACTTCCATTATAAACTCCTAAAATAAGCACATTTTGTAGAAGTCTTAGAAATAATGGAGGGCACTTTCATTCCAAAGCTGGTGAAGGCAACTGAATAAATTAATTTACTGATTAAATGTGTAGAGGAAGGTGAAGATTGTTAATGCTGATTGCTAAATATTTTCTGCAGAGTTGAGTGAGCTTACCATTTTAGTCTTTCAAATCAAATCAAAATGTTGACGTGTAATTGTTCGGAATTCGAGCAGTCTTAAGAGCCTATTTCAAATGTTTTTTGGAGTGAACTGAAAAACTGTCACTGCTGCTGTAGTCCTCAAGGGGTTAACATCAGCTGCCTCCTGCCTCGCAAATCACTTCTCACTGGCTTTCACATATTCTTAGCTATGTCATGCAGAAATGCACGCGGTTTGTGCCCACGCTATTCTAAGTGAAGGACAATTGGTGACATAATAGGGGAACGTGTGATGGTCATCTATTACCAAGAACAGTATTTCTATACCTTGTATTTGGAATAGCTGTTATTGTGGTGTTATAGAGCGGAAATACAAGAAGAGTTTATTTAAACAAAATGAACATGAGTTCTAATATTAAAAAAAAGTAACAATATCTCCTGAGCAGCTCTTATGGAAGCTGTGTATGGTCTGTTCTGCTCAAGTGCAGTAGGTGTGAATGTTTTTTAAAAAAAGTGAGATCACAAAAATCCTCAGGGTGTTTAGCACCTTATTTTTCCCCACAAATGAGCTGTATGTAGTGCTGCTATCAAAATTAGAGCTAGACCGTTTAGGAGTGAAATTAGGAGTCAGTTTTTCACCCAAAGGGTAGCGGAAATCTGGAACTCTCTCCCCAAAAGGCTGTGCTGGATCCATTCACGTCTTCAAGCCTGATGTGGATAGCTATTGTTAGGTCAGGGTATTAAGGGATATGGGGCAAGGGTGGATAATTGGATTTGAGGTACAGATCAGCCATGATCTTATAGAATGGTGGAACACGCTTGAGGGGCTGAATGGCCTACTCCTGTTTCTATGCTACTATCAGTCATGAAAGCAGAGTCAGAACACATAGCCATTATTTTGCAGTTCTGTTTTATCCTCTTATCTCTTCAACGCGCTTGTGGTCATTCACAAATGACCTATTAAGAATTAGAGGATATTCTGGGATATGTTGTCCTTGTGTGCATTTTTTGACATTTATAAGGTTACATGTACAAAGGCCTATGTTATGGCCATTTCTATCAATCTATAACCTTCATGGTATCCAATGGAAGCTAATTGGGGTATCTCCTTTTGTACCTCAGCCTGGACTGTGCTGGTTCTATATCTTTATTTGTCTCTTTATAAACAGAAGCACAATTTCCCCGATGGGCTGGTTTATTATAGTATGAACAATGACTAGATTAAACTGGCATCAAGGTTAGCAGCAGTTCTAGTTTTCCTCTTTTGAATATTGCCAGAAAGTGTTATTAACATGAGCCCCTGCTATTTATTCGCACAAGGCTAAGATTGACCTGATAGCATTAATATTATTTGAGTATAGGCAGCAGACAGGACTTTGGTGAGTAAGAGCAGATTTCATTCACAGTCACTACCAAAAATATATCTATATTTCCCATCCGACTGAAAATTCCATCATAGAAATCATAAAAGTAGCACATTGGTACTAATAAAGTGCAGGCTTATGATGGTAGATGGCATTTCAGGTGTCTGTGAGGGAACCTGTAGAGTATAGCTCAGAATAGGTGAATTAAAGAGTACATATCTGAAGTATGAGCCCACATTCTGTTCTTTAACTACATTTAGCCTACATAAAAGTGGGTGTATGGTCTAAGGTGAAAGTACATTGCATTTACTAATCAATCTTCCCTGAAGGATTGTCTGTTTTTTAATCATTTGGTAGAAAATTATTAAAATATCCTTTAAAGTATAACATGATTGCACAGAAGCCTTCCTTATTAGTGTGACATTGAATTGCTGAGACCAGTGGCTAATGCACAGAAATAATATTGTAAGTGATCTCTATTTAATTGCACAATTCAACATATTAAAACTAACAGAAAAAGCTTTTAGACTTAATTTCATTAAAACAATTCTTAGTGTGAGAGGTATGTACGTTTCCGTTATATAACCATTGTCCCAGATCAGAGCAAGCGTTGAGTGAGTATATATGGATAGTATGTGCACCACGACAGGAAATCAATAGACGACTGCCATACTATGCAGGTGACTTTATTCACAATTTGGTTGGTATAAAACTGGTTTTGGCGTGTTTCTAGTGATTTTTTTTTGACCGGGAGTTTGTGAAACATAGCTGGGTAGTTAGTGGTACTTCTATAATTCTGAATGGATTATTTTATTTAAAGCACCTGTTAATTGCTTCAAAGTCTGTGTTTTCTTCTAATTGCGCAATACACCATTATGTGCCTGATAATGTGTTAAGTCTGTAGGATATTTTGAGTTATTAATTATGATAGTAATAAGCTTTTCCCCTTTTCTCTTGTTTTTTTTCAATGCTATCTTGCTTTGCACTATGATTGCATGCTGCGCCTTGGTGTAACCTTCATCGTGATGTTACATGGCTTGTTGCTGTGATACCTGCCGCACCCAAAACTCACCACATATTGCCATGGTTGCCATAATGCTCTGCCCTCCTGTTTGTCGCTTCCATGGTTCCTTACTGAAAGTGCCCATGATGCACGGTGCTACACCCACCACTGTGTCTGCAGCAACAACACCTGCTACCAGCGTCTCCTTCGCTGCAACAGCTACAGCCAATCAGGTTTGGCTCTTTAAATAGTTTTGTTTGACATTTGTTACTCCAATTAAGTATTGCATTGATCAGCGACAATTTCAGTGTGCGTCAGGTGTCTCGTTTGATAACTTTCAGGCAAGAAATGCGGATTGGTATTGTTTTAAACAAAATAGAATTATTGTTGCATATTATTTGATCTGGACATACAGGGTGACCAAAAAGTCGTGATACCATTGTGATACTAATGAGTCTTAAAGAAATGATGATATTTTTGTGTGTTTTTTTAGATAATAAGGGTAGTTATCACGCCTTTTTGGTCACCCTGTAGTTGTGCATAATTTAATGATGATATTTCCCTTTAAAGTTTTCAGTCCATTAATCCATTCAGTACAAATAAATGTTTTAATTTTAAGCGATAATTTATAGGAATGGTAAATGTAAATATTATTTAAAAATCCAACTTTAATATGAAATCTTTTCTATTATAGATGCCCATGTTATCTGTAGATGAACTGAGTAGCAGCATGTTTGTTACACAGATGTAGGCATTACGAATGGAAAAGTAAGTTTATTTTAAATACTCTACAGTCTAGAATTGTCCCATAAAGTAAAGGATTTGTACTATTTTGAAGTGATTCATTGTAATTGCTAGACCCTTTGTTTTAGACACACAGTATTAAACTATCTTTTAAGTATATTTCACCTCAATAAAAATTAGTTACTAGGAACTAGAATTGTACAATCATAATAGAAAAGATTATGATTTTAATATTAAATAGCTTGTACTTTTATCATTCTCAAAACTTCCAAGTTGAGTAACTGTATCTGTAGGCACCTTGCAGCTATTTGCTATAAGGTTAACAAAGAGCCATGAAGTGAATAACCAATATTTCTGGAGTTTGTTGGTCAGAACACTGGAAGAAACTCCCTTTTCTTTTCAATAGTCTCACGGGACCATTAACATCCACCTGAGCAAATTTATTATAATAATAATAAATTAAGGTAGTTAAATTGATTCAGATTTCAACAAGTGCTATTCTTTTCACCATAGGTGAAAACAGTATCTTTGTTAATAAGGAGGAATAATATTTCAGTCATAATGTTAGGGTACTTTTGTAAATCATAAGCATTTCTAAATGGAACCTTATTCTCATGCAATGAGATTGGCTTCTTTTTGCAGTTCATGTGCTACATTAAAGCACTTTGAGACATCTTGAAGGTGTGATAAGGTGCTATATCAAATGCTAGGATTGTTATTATTATTATATGCAATATCCATTGCTTCCAGATTCTGTTGTTGCTCAATAGTCATCTGTGTGTTTCCTTCTCTACCCCCCACTTTAGATTAAATCCTAGTTCCTTGTGTTCCTAAACTATGCGCCTTATTTGATTTTGCCTTTTTTTAAAGTGGTGTGTTAATTAGATTAAGAAGCTCAAAAGTCAAGAGGCTGTAGCTAACCAGTTGCCTTGGCATCGCACCTTTCTACCATTGTTTTGTCAGAGGATGCGAATATCTTAGTTGGTACGGACCCCATTGAATTATTAATAATTTAAAGTTATGCAGTGGATTTACAAGGCAATGCCAGGGAAGGTAAAGGTACCGTACAGGCCACAGAATGGGTGGGGGAAACACTTTGGTGAGAAACTGGAGGCTGCAATGTCTGTTTAAAAACCCTTTTTTAAAAAAGAGGTGGATTAACAGGATACTACCCAGTTAAAATGCACAGCAGCATGAAGTAAAGGAGTGAGGAAGCCGACCTTTCTAAGTGAGTGCCTTTCAACCCTTAACAGACGGGCAGAATGTAATGTTAACCTTAGAAAAGTAGCTGCTGCCCTGCAGGTTTCACTAGAGCTGTTAAATGATCAGCCATAAGTGCAGATTTCATGGAGCTCATCCATCTGTGGTTAACCGTTCAGATATCCAGTCATTTGTAAAACTGTATACAGATGTAACGTGCCTGCTGTGACAAGCCCATGCAGCCCCTGTCCAAAGCTCCATGAAAATGGAAAGTGACAGTCTTATACAGTTAGGTATTGTAAAACAGATTTAAACAATAACCACCCATGCACACCAAGTTGGACACGCAAACAGGTTTTGGGAAACGTTCTTCTTGCCTGACAGCAATAGTGTCAATTATAAATAAACAATTTAAGAATGTCTCTTCAGAAATAAATAAAATGAGTTGTCTGATGCTGTACGAGCTGAACAGTCCATCTTATGTAGGTATTTCCACTTTGTGTTCAAGGGGTGCCTCAAGCTAACTGTCTTGCGTATCAGAGATACATCTCATCTGTTGGGAATCCTAGGCTTTTAACTAAAAGATTCCTGACCATCCATAAAGATTCATAAAGAGATACAAACTTACTAAAATTAGGTATTTTAGGATCTAACCTCAGGGAGATAATGTGTATCTCAGCAAATGGTTTCTCCTCCCGCTCCTGCCTGGTCACCTGCGAGATACTCTAAGGCTCCATCCTTGACCCTCTACTTATTCTTATCTATATGCTCCCTCTGGGCGATGTCATCCGCAGACACGGGGTAAACTTCCACATGTATGCGGATGACACACAAATCTGCTTTGCCTCCTCCAGTACCAACTCCAGGTCTGCCGATGTTCCATCAGCTTTTCTGGCAGACATCAGGCCTGGATGAGCGTAAACCTCCTGTAGGTGAATATGGACAAGACGGAAGCCATACTCCTTGGTTCACGTCAAATTCTTTACTCCTGTAGATCTAAACTCCTCAACCTCCCTGAGCTCTCCCTCCGGCTCACCGAACGAGTGTGCAATCTAGGTGTCTGGTTCGATCCCCAGCTGTCCTTCCTTCCCCACATCCGGTCCCTGACCAGGACTGCCTTCTTCCACCTCCGCCACATTGCCCACCTCTACCACATTGTCTGCCTTCGACCGTACCTTATCCCAAATGCAGCCAAAACCCTTGTGCATGTGTTTGTCACCTCCTGCTTGGATTACTCAAACGCGCTCCTTGCTGGTCTCCCCAGCTCCACTATTCAAAAATTCCAGCTAATTCAGAACTCTGCCGCCCACATACTGACCCGGACCAACTCTGTACCCCCACATCTCACCAGTTCTGGCCCAGGCTCCACTGCCTCCCCATCACCGATTGGATCGACTTCAAGATCCTCACACTCGTGTTCAAATCCATTCACTCCCTGGCACCTCCCTACCTCTCTGACTTCCTCACTCCCCAATCCATCACCCGTTGCCTCCGCTCGACTGGCACCGGCCTCCTGCTCATCCCTCGCACCCTCCTCCTCACCATTGGAAGTCACGCTTTCAGCCACTGCGCCCCGAAACTGTGGAACACTCTCCCTCAATCCCTCCACCTTGCCCCCTCTCTCCCCTTTTTCAAGTCCCGCCTGAAGACCTTCCTCTCCAACCGGTCACATCTCCCCCACTCCCCCCCCGGCTCGGAGTCAGGCTCCGCCACCGTTAAGCGCTCTGAGACGCTACCCTGCGTGGAGGGCGCTATATAAGTGCAAATTGTTGTTGTGTACAGTTGCGAGCACTGGATTATGGAGGACCTGTTTTCTGCAATAAAATGAATGGTAAATTATTTCTGGCTGATTGCGGTAAATGTCTTACGATATTCATCTACATTAGGTTGCTACATATCGAATGTGTTTTAGTATTTAGTAAGGACTGTAAAATAAGTGAACTATATATTGAATAGGATTGTTTACCTTTACAAAATGCATGGCTAAAATGTTTTAAACTCAGTTTGTTGTCTTCCACCCCTCCCCGCACTTTTTCCTTTGCTGTAGCAGTTCATGCTGAGATAATGAACAGCAAACTGATGGAGTACCAAGACATCTCCATGGGGAGCTGCACACGGCCTTTCTGTAAATACTCCCATCATCCCCTTCCTACCACCTCCGCAGTAAGCCTACCACAGCCTACATGCTAACCAAAACCAAAATGATGGGAATGTCAAGAAACAAAAAGCACTATAAAAAGTCAAGTAAATTTACATACTCCTGTTAGACACTGCGCGTATGTGTAGGAATTAAATGAGGTATATCACTTTTTATATCTCATTACTGTAATACATTTAACCAATTTATGGTAACACCATGATGATAAAATGCATTTTCGAAGTATGAAGACTGTTGGTTTACTGTATTATCAATAGCAATTGTTTATCAGTTTCAATTTTTATGTACGAGTGCTATCTTAACTGAATGTTAAGTTTACATCAGAGTAAATTGATTTGTTTTTAAGAAAATGTCTGTCATGGTCCAGGTTTTCCCTAATCACTTTCTATTTCACCATATCTATTTTTATGTTAATTCGTTTCTCCTTATTAAAATGAATGTTAATGAGAAACAGGACAAAAATATCAATAGAAAGCAACACTCCACTCTAATTTGCATCACAATCTGCAGTCTTTATTGTGTAACTTATTCCCATTAGTTAAATCTTCTGTGTATAACCTGTTTGCCATCAAGTTTTACAAACGTAAAGAATACAAATTTAGCATAAACTTACATGTTTTGTGTAGCAATACTTTCAATGTAAATATTAATGCATGTATTCACATTTACACCTGCAATGAGAAACTGTAATATTAGGTAGTTATTTAGGATCAGGAAATTCTTGATGAGCTGTGCAGTACTTAAATGTATAATCTTGTCTATAATCACTTCATCATTAGCAGTTCTAAATTGTTACAAACAATATTTAGATATCATTATCAATCTGCATAAAACTAAAAATGTGTCACTTAAAACAATTCTACATTTAACCAATTGATAAATTCCGTAGGGCAGTTTATAAGATGATTAATCTGCCCATCAACAGTGTGCTTACTATTACAGATGTTTTACTCCTGTTTTTCCTTCAGTAGTATTGTGATGAAATGGAGCTGATAGTTAGGGATAGCCTGCCATGTTTTTGTGTTATCTCATTATATTGCTGGTCAAAACTATTTCCTGCTCACTGTGTACCAGTGCCTCAAAGAAAGGAGAGGTGGATATAACTAAGCCGGAATGAATGTTGTGTATTGGTGATATTAAAGGGCTTGGTTCATTGAAGCTAAAATACTTTCTAATAGTATATTCCTGCGTTATTGTTAATGTGCGAGGTGGACTCCTCCTGGGAAGCTTCCAAACTAAAAGCTTGGAGGTTGTCTGTAATTGTTGGTAACATCAGACAGGAATGCACAACTTCACTGTACAGATTGGCAATCTGTTACATCAACAACTCTGTGACAATATTTCATCTATTACCGATACTTAAATATTCATTCCTGTTTCAAATGTAAGTTCACAACATTAAGCTTAAGCGATTTTGATTATATAAGTTGTGAATAAGAGTGGAAATATCCATGCCTAATCTGGGTCTCAGCAGCATGGACAGACATTCAGTTTTCAAACGAGTAGAACAATATTCGGATTAACTGCATCCAGTTAAAGAATCAATTAATATTGTTATTTAAATGATGTTGTGAAGCAGCGTGTTCCCTGTCTGTCAAGTCCTTCATGCTGTTTAAGGATTTGGTTAACTGGGCTTCACTTTGAGAAAAAAAAGTTGCTTCTCTTTCTTTTGGAATAAATGACTAATATATATATATTATATATAACATATATATTCACTGCCATTGTCTAGGTGTGTAGCTCTGGTGATGCTATCAAAATTTTTGCACATTCAGAATCAATTTCAGAACTGGGGAGGTGAGCATGATCTAACAGAACATCATCAGAAATGTAAACTAACAGTTTTCTCAGTGCATGGTTAATACAGTAGAGCATAAGTATTGTCTCTGGATATTAAGATGCACAGCTCTGGAACAAGCTTCAATGGAACAATCCTTTGAACTGATTCAGTACTATCATACTTCACTGTAGACAAACCCATACTTTAGCCTCCAAATCATGGTCCCAGCATCCACCCCATATCTGGTACGGATTACTTGCAGTGTGAACAGAATGTAAATCTGGAACTTAAAACAATTTCCCATAAAAGGTCAGAGCACTGAAAGGATACATGTTTGGTTATTAAAGATTTATTGCTTTATTATGAAGCAGACTTCTTTTAATGAGGATGTTCAGGGTAGGAGGATGAATGAGGTGCCGCACATGTTTCAGTGTCGCTGGGAGGTTAAGACTGATGTTTTTAAAAAAAAGCTAAGGAATGAAAGCTTGAAGCACTAGTGTCTTCACCAAATGAAATCAACGCAGGCAAAGCTGCCACTTCTGAAGTAGCACTAAGAAGAATATAGTTGTGCAATGACTTTACTCCAATGATTTGTTTAATTAAAAAAAGTCGTCAAGACTATAAATGTCATTAGGTTGAGTGAGCATTCTTCATTATAGTCACATCGTCAGAAAGTGACTCTAAACAAAGTCTTCTCTGCACCACAGGATCATTTGTTTAAATGCCATGAAAATGTGATTATACATACTGCAATTAGATTGTTGGACTCTAGTGCTGGTTAGTACCAGGGAAGATTTCAGCAGTTCTGCTTCATTTCATGGCCATGTAATCATGTATGTTTATTTTTATTTCATCCAAAGTTATTTCTCTTTGTTTAGTTTTCTCAGCCTTATGCAAACGATATGCAAGAATACTGAATCTTGGATAAAACGGGTCATACTGAGGGAAAGTGGAAGATGAGGTAGAGGACGAAAACAGGGATTTTTCTATTTGGGCTGGACAAATTTAATATTAATGTTACGTTTTCCATCACAAAAGTGCAACACAAACTGCATTAACTATCGTAATCACACCAGTGCTTTTATGCTACCTAAATTATTTTAGGGCAAAGTTATTGCACTGTTACCAGCCATATGTTTCATTAAGTACATGAGAGTTTTAGTTCTGTTATAGTTTACAACCTCTGTTACTATAGCTGACAGGAATAAAGAGTTCTAAATTTCTCCAACCTTGTATATTTCACAGTACTGTATGCTGAGAAAGAGAAATCTATGAGGAAAATTTTCCATTCCTCTTGAATGGATTTAGCAAGATATTGACCTGATTTTACTGTGTGCCTGTTAAAGGCCTTAGATGCTATAATGGTTTAAAACTATGTAATCTATATAAATCTATAGAGGTTTTTGCCAATAGCCTAATCCAAATGTAAGTACATAACAACACACTACATACCTTCAGTGACATGATCATGTCTAAAATTTTAATTTCTAGAACTAATTATTTTACATTTCTGATTTTTTTATTGCTTAGTTTTAATTACAGTTAAATAGGAACTAATGTTTTAAATCTGAAGGAGTGTTAATAAAAGTTTTTAACATTTGTATTTGAAACCATTTATTGATTCATTAAGTCATTTATTTTATTGCTAACCTTCACTGAGATATGATCACGTTTAAGAATACAATACATACCTAGTTTGTGTAGTTTACATTTTAGAACAAAAATAACTTTGTATGTAACTCTTACAATGATAGATTCATTGTTAACTAATTATGATATTGAGTTGTTGCTATGGCAACAAAACTACAACATGGCTACCTTTGTATACATTATTTGTGAATTTTCACTTGTAATTTTAAAAAAATTGTACAACAGCATGAACTTTAAAAAGGTACAGCTAGACACTCTCAGGCAAAAAGTAATGATATTCTTTGAATATTTTTGATTACCCAAAGTTCCACTTAAAATGTACGTGAGACCTGAATCTGTGTCTGTATGTCCCTTTTTCAGCCAAAAGAGGTTAACAACACATGGATTTAGAATCAGGTTTTATAGCTAGTTGAAAGTGTGGTGTGGGTACAGTGTTGTAAAAACTCTGGAAATGTGATATGCTGCAGTTTAACTGATTTGACCTGTTAGTGTACGATTGTGTGTGACACATCTTTTTGCACTTATGTACATAGTTAATGAAAGAAATATTCAGATCTTATTTTGAATAAAAAAGGATTGTGTTATTACAGGAAAGTTTGTTAAGGTAAATAAGGTAGGCATTACTAAGGCTTTGAAAAAAATGAGGGACAGTTTTTGCTATAAAACGTATCTGAAAGCATGATGTTGCTTTGCTGTTGAGAAAAGCTTTGTAGTTTGCCATAGCTTACTGTACAATGAATGAGAACAATTTACATTCAGTTCCGGGGTCTCAGAATTGAGCTTCAACAGACAGGTACAATCTTACTGTTGTAATTCAAAAAGTTGACGTGCTCCAAACAATAAAATATTCAACCAAATTAGTCATCAACACACAAAGACAAAAGAATTACAAGACATTAAAAACAACCACATTACATTGATCTCAAAGGTTCAAGTTCTATAATACTGTACACAGATGCAACCTGATGGTGGAAGCCAAATGATTTTGTTGCCATGGCTGTTGTATCCTAGCAGATGAGGGGATGACTTTCCTGCTTACAGGTTGGAGAGAAACCTGTAACTAGGGCCTGTGCTTTCATTCATTTAATGTGCATATTGTTTCTTCAACTGCACAGGAGGTCATTTTTGTGTCTAAAGCTCAAATGATTATATTTGGAATCTCTGTGTACAGGTTTACAAATATCAAGAATAGCAAATACACAGCATTACCTGTATGAGAACAATGTTTGCATACAAAAGCTGTTAAATACTGTGTTGTACATCTCAATATTCCGCTTTAGAAATTGGCTTCAATTGTGTGCTTAATTTTAGATTCCAAATGATAATTCTTGCAAATTATGCAAAATCACACAGCAAAAATCTAAACAAAATTTTCCCTTTAAAGCAGAATCCAAACTTCACACAAAAGTCAAAGCAGTTCATTCCCTCAACTGCTACAAACAAGATAGTAGCTTCGTTTTTATTTTTCTCTGGATTGTTGCCAGATTATATTGCTGTAGTGCTTGTATGTGCTTTAGATATGACGTGCTGTATGCTACATATTTCAGTATTTTACTTCTTATATTGCCATTGTTTAATTTCTGATCTTTTAAAAATAAAGTGCTTAAAATGGTTATGTTTTTGTGTTTTTATTTTAAATTATATACTATTGTTTTAAAAGAAGTATTTGGAAAATTTTCAAGTGTGGATATTTTCTGTATCAAGGGCACGATAGGACACAACTGTGCAATGACCTGGAAAATTGCAATTCTGTCTAATGCAGGACATTACTAAAACATTAATTCTTGCATTATTGCCTTGAGTCATCAAAAAAAGTAAAGTGTCTATATTTGTAGGCAAATGCTTAATGGATCCAAATTAGGCTGATGTACCACTTCAGGATTGGTACATGGATGGAATGCTCTTAAAGAGAAAACAAAAATCAAAATGATAAATTGGTCACTCAATCCACCACTGTTTGTGTGACACTGCTGTGCGCAATTGGCTGCTGCGTTTTTCTCATAACATATACAGTCAATTCACTTTACAGTGTATTCTGTGAAGCGCTTTGAGACGTCTAGAAGACGTGATAAGGTGCTATATCATCATCAAAAATAATTCTGGTAACTAAGCTTCCTGCTGCTTGCCCAACTTGGACAATTTCATCTCTTGGTCCAATGATGAGCCAGACAGGCTGATCAATCAAAAGTTCCCTGAAGTCCTGCGAACCTACCTATTCATACAGGGCAGGTATAGATTATGTTGGCTCCTTGCTCATCTCATGCTTGCAGACTACCCACCCCCACCATTGTAGCATCAAACTTCTTAAAAGATTGCAATAACTTGTCCTCTGCCACGCTTCCTGACAACCCATGCCGGCTATTGTTTACTCTCCTTGTATAACAGAACAGGAATCGAGTGAAATGAACTGTGGGAATCAATTTTAAGTAATCCCACTATAAAAAGGTAAATGGCTGATAGGAATAGACTTCTCAGAGCTTCTTCACTACATTTTCTAACAGCACTTAGTTGGGGGATGTGCACAGTGTTTTAAAATTGTATCAAATGCTCTGCCAAGAACTGTTCGATGAATCAATATTTATGAGCAAATCACATCACTAAAATCTAATCTATCAAATTCAGAATTAGCATTGTGCACTCAGTCATGAATAACAAGAGCTGAAGGAGAGGCATCCGTTAGCAATACATGCCATTTGTTTGTGGTTTGAACGATGGAAACAATTTTGCACTCTTCCATTGAATTCTATTCAACATGTCCAACAGTAGAGACCAGATGCTTGATTCATTTGCGATGATAGAACCTTATGATTCTCTTGAACATGTAATACTCACAGGGCAGCGGGTTCATTACCGTGATGCTAGGCTACACACTGAGGCACTATTCTCTCTTTGTTAGTTATGGCATTCACATAATCTACACGCACCTCCTCTGCCCCGTGGATTTCAAGCTTTCTTTTATCACCGTCCTTACAAAACTTAACATTTTTCACATTCTACAAACTGCTGTTTCTGAATCCCCCTAATTTGGTGTTTGCGCACTCCTTAAGCACTATGGCCCGTTTTTCTTCTCACTTCGAGATCTGTATTTTACTTACGGTAACCACACATGTAGCTTTTTGTTTTCTATTCCTGAAGAAAAATGATACAATGTACCCTTATAAACTCAGTGTTGGTATCACAGGAGGGAGCAAATGCAGATTGCGTTGAAGCAGTTGGTAGTTAAGATGTTCAGTTCGCCTTTGTAGACTGTGACGATTGTATAGAAATACGTTATGGTTAGTTGCTGCAAATGATATATTGCAGATCAAATGACCATTATGTAGGTCAGACCAATATTTTATACTTTCTATTCCAGTGTCACACAAGGACACAGGCACAACAATGTTACTTGATACAGGCATCAAACTGAGAGAAAGTTCTTAGGAATTCTTTCAATCTATGTCAAGGTAACATGATGAGTAAGAACAGCAAGCACAGAAAGGACGGTTAGGCAGGCGTCAGAGTTTAATTTACCCAAATAGAATCAGTTATTTGATGTGTGTCAATATTACTGTGGCAAAGTTTGTTTATGCCTTAATTTGAAGAGCCTGGTCAGTGGCTAGGATCAGTTACATCTAGACCATGTTGCTGGCGGCAGTCGGCACTGGCTCAAAGAACCAAGCACGTAACTCAGTCATTCAGCTATATTTGACACTGCTGATGAAGGGTTTATGGCAACAGAAAAAGAATCATTGCAGGCAATGAGCGCTCCACATCAGGAAGTTCATTTTCTAAATATGCTCACTTGACCTTTATGTTCTTGTGTATTGCAACCTGAGATCAAGGCATCTTTTCTTGCTTCTTGCAACATGCTTCGAACGAGCAACAAGGAAATCTCTGCTGTGGACCACACATTTTGTTTAGGCAGCAGAGCGGGAGGCAGAACCACCTTGTTATGAAAGGTTTTACACCTACTTAGTGGATGGAAAATGTTTAAAAATGAGCAGAGAAGCTTTCACTTTTACTATTCGTAAAATACACAACCAAGAAAATTATGCTGTAATGGCATCTCATAGTGCAATCCCATTTAAGGTAGAGGGAAGTAGTGACATTGTAAGAAGATATTATGAGAAATGCACCACTCCAGAGGTTTATTTGTTGGTCAACAACCACTATTGGTGAAACTGTTGTTAAAGGGTGTTCAATGATCAGCTGCTTTCCAGGTGATAACAGGGTTCCTTTGAACTGTAATTGCCATCATTGAAAATTGTCTGCTGATTCGTACACTCACAATCAATGTCACAGATTTTACAATTTGTAGGAGTGGTTTTTGTGATTACGCTGCTCAATCGCTCCTTTTTAGGATGGAATGGAATGCCAAAGTTTGGGGATGTATTGGGCTACCAGAGTATAAAGTGCAGAAGGGTTCAAAGTTGCCAGCATATACACATGGTGCTGACAGCACATGATTATCAGGGAACAATGCCAATACAGCTATTGGGAAATGCTTTACAACCCATCATTCTTACTTTCTGCACCGCTTACGGTAAGGAGCCCTGCAACACAGTGGTTGTGTACACTTATTGAAAATGCAATTAGCAAGCTTAAAGGGCACTTGAGAAGACTTATTAACAAAGTATTAGTACAGTAACATTCAAACCCACAACTACGATGGCTCCTGCATATCATCTGTGGCAATCAGGTCTATACATCTCTGATTAGAAAATCTATCATTGGAGCATCTGCAATTGGAAGATTTGGGCTGCCACCCAGACACACAGGATATACACAATGGTGTTATCTGTGTCAATGGAAGTAGCACAGGACATCACAATTAGTGTATTAATAATATATTTATATCATGCATATTATCTCTTTCCAAAGTCAATTGTGTTAAGGTGGTTTTACATTTGTTTTTGGTCATGGCTTAGACTGCTTGCTTGTACAGTTAAGTGTTTTGAGTTGAAGTATAAAGTAATCTGTAATGCTCATCGCTTGCTACATCATTATAACTGTTCATTGCACCTATTTATGTGGTCTGTTTCCTGTCTGGCCTAAAGCTATCCATGCCTCATATGTCCCTATTTAGATGGCGTGTTTCTCATGGGGTATATAAATATTTTTCATTCCACATGTACTTGTTTATGTGCTGTGTTTCCCAAAGGAGCTACTTTCACTCCTTTCTCAAATACAATTATTCATGTACCATGCTTTCTTCCCCCTACCCATCCTCCCCCATATAAACACTCATATTAATATACTATATAATGTCTTCCAAGTATACTTTTATTGAAGCACTCGTAGGACAAATAGAGTCACTATACAATGGAAAATTACACACAAAAAAAGTAAAACAAGGATAATACTGTTCTTTTTGGTGCAATAGTTCTACAACATGAATGGTCAAGATGTGGATTGAACTGACTTTTATTCGAGAGTACTGCATATCATTAGGCAAGTTTCCTTACTCCACACCCCTCTGTTTACCTATAGGAACCCAGTTGTTAGTCATTTGGTGGATTGCTTTTCTGGGGGGAATAATCCCTTCAAAAAAAATTTAAAATAATAATAATTTGGTCACTCAATCCATGACTGTTTGTGGAACACGACTGTGCGCAATTGGCTCCTGTTGTTTCGCCCACAAAATATAGTCAATTCACTTTACCATATATTTTGTGAAGCACCTTGAGATGTTTCGAAGACGTTATAAAGCGCTATATCAAATGCAAGGATTATTATTATTATTATTTTCATTATTATTATTATTTCCAGCAGTGATTGGGAATATTGAAGAACTGGAATAGGTAGGTTATTTAGGATTGATCAGGAATATCGAAATATATTCAAAATGAGCAGTGTATGCAGGACTGATAGAGAATATTGACTTGTAGCCTGCATAGACAGTGTATCCGGTACTAATCAGAAACATCAAACAAGATGGGTGAGCCATGTAATTGTTACTGGGACTGCCAATGCACATGCTGTGTGGGCGATGCATTCAGATTGGGAATGTTGAGACTCAGGCTGTGTGGGCAATGTATCCGGTATTGATTCTAATTGTCAAAATGATAGACTGCAAATCCCTTTGTCGGTCAGTTAATCCATTTTATTATGTTGCTTGAAATTTTTATACTGCATGTGCAATCTGCAGCAGTTTCACAGGGACACAATCCCCCTGGTGGTACGATTAAACCATGCTCAGTTCATTTTGGTAATATCTCAGCGTAGATGTTGGTATTTATTTTATGACCAGCAAAACCTCCTGAATATTGCCATGACTCATCCCTCCATCAAGTCTCTCTAATATAATTCTACATGCAAGTGCCATCATGATTTATCCTCTATGTGTAGCTCAGCTTTATGTGTATTCACTCCCAAACAGTGTTGAACAAGCATTGCATTGCCAGTGATGCTGTCCTTTGGATGAGATCTCATGTCACAATTTCCAGTGTCCTACAATTCCCCAGATACAAAAAAAATGTTTATTCATTTCATGGCTTTTGGGGGACATCATTGTGTGCAAACGTTTGCCTACAAATACAAAGACATTACACTTTACAGGGAAACATGGTGAAGTGCTTTATTAATAATAATAATCCTTGCATTTGATATAGCGCTTTTCACGTCTTCTAGATGTCTCAAAGTGCTTCACAGAATATACTGTAAAGTGAATTGACTGTATATTTGTGGGCAAAACGCAGCAGCCAATTGCGCACAGCAGTATCCCACAAACAGTCGTGGATTGAAGTGACCAATTTATTATTTCTTTTTCTTGAGGGATTATTATTAGGTGTGTGGGCTTTGAGCTCACAACCTTCTAACCCAGAAGTAAGGGAGGAGCAATTCCAGCTGAGCCACACTGACATCCTAAAATACTAGAAAATCAGAACTATTTAAACATTCCGTTAGAGTGTAATCTTAACCAAAGCTTTGAGATGTATCAACAGGATAAAGCAGCATATCAAATGCAAATAATTTTAAGGAACAAAAGGTGTATAGGCTGTTTCCTGCAGAGCTTGGAACTATCCATATTAACCTGAGCCCCAAACAATAAATGATCAGAGATCAGACTTGTACCAGAAGGTATCATTGATTAAAAAATACTTGAAGCCAGTCCCAAAGGTGATGCACATCAGCAGGTTCTACTGTGTAGGAATGAGATTAGTGTTCCTGATTTACGTTTACGAATGATGAAGCTGTTTTGCACACTGTGATCAATGACATTCCAGACACTTTCTCTTCTGGTCTGCTGAGTAACAAGAGAAATTGCACCACACATTCAAATTCACAACTCAGTCTTTTCTGTATCCTGCAAGACACTTTGATATTAATTTGCTATTTATCACCATTTTCACTCAACAAAACTAAAAGCATGCCACAAATTCTTTCTGTAATCAGTTTCCATTTGTTTTCCTACAACTGCATTCTTATAGAACGGGTACTATTCTAACTGCACTGTGATCTATGCCTGACCTGACATACCTTGCAAATAAGACAAGACCAGGCGCATTCAAGGCAGTGTGGCCTCAGGCAGAACAAAGCTCAAGTATATTTAGTTCGGTTTTGATTTTTAGAAAAGGTTTATTGATGCAAAACCAAAAGAATAAATATTCTCCACAATGAACACTGCAGACATTATTCTTGTGGTATTCTGCTGGATCAGGTCTACTCCCTTTCTTAACAAGTTAAAGTATTCTCTTGAGTGCATCATTACAGAGCCTTACAAAAAAAAGGTTTTCAAGCATCAATGTAAAAAAAAATTCAAATAAGGTAAACTCTTAAATGTGTCTATTTTTCTCCTTGAAAGCATTCACTAAGAGAGTAGGGTGGACTTGAATACAAAACAAAATGCTGAGGACTGACATTTCTCAATGCCTTAGCCTGAAGAGCATTGTCTTAAAATTTAGCATTTTGCAGAATTTTAGAAGATGCTTGAATTCAGAAGCCGGTTTTCCATAGTTCTGTTGAAGAATTTGCAAGCCTCTGAAACTTTGGTTTATAACCAGCCAACGTGAGCTGAGATTCTAAAGTATAGGCTAGGTTTTCCTAGAATCGCTCACATTCATCTACCATATTGGTAGATGAATGTATTTGTATTATATATGGTGCTCCATCTAGTGATCAGGCTGCTCAATTTTCCTCATGAAGGCAGACAAATTTAGGCAACGGTTGAGGCTGGAATTTGTCTCTGGTTAGATATCCAATATATCACCACTACACCTACCAACAATTTAATTGACATTGGGTTTCAAGTCATATTAAGTATGTTCTTACAAATACACCATTGAGGCAATTTTAGCTTGAATCCCACTAGCATGCTGTCCTCTCTCACCCTGGAGGAAGGAATGGTTTTAGCCAAGGCAGCAGGACATGACTGGCTCAGGTTTCTAAGATAAGGGACTCCATCTAGTGTTTTCCCTCAGAACTGGTTAAAAGTACCCATGGATTCCAGTTTACAACACACTTTTTGGGTGAATTTTCAACATCACTCCACTTTACAATATATCCTGTGAAGCCCTTTGGGACGTCCTAACATGAAAGGCACTATATCAAATGTAAGGATTGCTATTATTATTATTTCATTCATTTTGCAGAAAAATAAACATTACCTTTACCGCACGATAAAAATAGATCACACTTCCTGTCTTATAGATATATATGTGCTTCAGGTACTCTCACAAGAGAAGTGAAACTGCTGTAATTTACAGTCAGCTCAGCCTTAATCTATCCTGCCTATACATTTGACTTCATCTATGAGACTGATTAACAGATGTGGCCCCTCTCCTTCCGTTCTCTCTTGGGGGTGCCAAGCCATGCAGCCAACTTCAAAGTATTCCAGCATTTTCAAAATTATCCCCACACCTTATTAACGGTTTTCATATTGAACCTGTAGATACTGCAATCTCCTAGAGGTCAGTGACCCAATCCTCCAGCTCATTAAAGGAATTTTACCCAATTATTAACAAAACCCATTCACACCAATGGGAAATTAGAACCATCTTTACAGCCAACACAAAGTAATAACAGGTGGGTTCTCCAGAAACTGAGAAAGTATTGTTCTGTTTACTTTCTAAATCCAGTTTTGCATTTTATATGCCTCTGTAAGATGCCCTCTGAGATTTCTTTTCAAGGTTTAGATGCCAAGCTTTTGGTGTCTGCAAATTCTAGGTAGACTCAGCTACACCCGCCAAGTCTCACTTATTTCCAGGTTGCCAAATCCTCCGTTCCGCTCAGTTAAATGGGTTTGCAATTGGTGCAACTGTTTCTCTTCAAGTGGTCTGACCAATGGAATACTTTGATCAAGGGGATCAATCAATCACCATAATTTAAGGATTCTGACATTCATTTATTAGTCAATTAAAAAAAACAGTGCCTATGTATTATTAGTTTAGACTGGTGCGCACCTACTGATGTCATTAGGAACTTGCTCGGGATGGCTCAGGGTTGCTAATCTTTTTCATGTTTTTTTTAAAAACTTCTGTTTTTTTTTGGAGGGGGGGGTAGTTTCTCGAGTTTACCAGAAACGAGATCATAGGATTGGTTCGGATGAGGAAGACCCTTTGGCCCATATGACATTCTCCTTCCAGAATACCCCTCCTGACTCTCTTCCCATTACAGCATCAAGCTGTAATTTATTTTACATGTTTATATAAACAAGTCCAACGTGCTAGGCTCAACCACCTTTCCTGGTAAGCCGTCCCAGTAATTAATTCCCCTCTGGGTAAATAATAATAATCCTTGCATTTGATACAGCGCCTTATCACGTCTTTGAGATGTCTCAAAGCGCATCACAGAACAAGCTGTAAAGTGAATTGACTGTGTATTTTGTGGGCGAAACGCGGCAGCAGCGTCCCACCACAAACAGTCGTGACCGATTTATTATTAATATTATTATTCGTTTTTTGACGAAGGAATGTGTACTTGCTGGTGTCTGTCCTGAAATTGCCAGTTGCAACCCTAAACCTCTGTGGTGCTCCTTGTTTGAGGTCTGGGTGCAGCCGAGAGTATATATGGATTCTGGGCTTATTTTATCGAAGCCATTTAAAGTGTTACACAGGATCCAGGAGGTGAGGGGCTCCTCTGGAGCTGAGGGGGAGGAGGTGATCCCAGAGAGGGGGGAGGAGAGAGGGGAGGGGGGTGAGAGAGGGGGAGGGGGTGAGAGAGGGGGGAGGGGGGTGAGAAAGAGGGGGGAGGGGGGGAAGGGGGGTGAGAAAGAGGGGAGACAGAGGGAGAGGAGGGGGAGAAAGAGGGGAGGGGGGAAGGGGGGGAGAAAGAGGGGGGGGGAGAGAGGGGGGTGGGGGAGGGGGTGAGAAAGAGGGGAGACAGAGGGGGAGGAGGGGAGGAAGAGGGGGAGGGGGGGAGAAAGAGGGGAGGGGGGAGAGAGGGGGGTGGGGGGTGAGAAAGAGGGGAGACAGAGGGGGAGAAAGAGGGGAGAGAGGGGGGAGGGGGGGAGAAAGAGGGGAGACAGAGGGGGGGGGGGAGAAAGAGGGGAGACAGAGGGGGAGGAGGGGGAGAAGAGAAGAGGGGGGAGAGGAAGGGGGAGGGAAGGGGAGAGGGACCATTTAGAGAGTCACACAGGAAGTGTGCGCCACGGCCTTTAGTGTCCGTGTGACCGGCGGCTTCTTCACCCGCCCCGAGAGCGAGCGCGAGAGAGAGAGTGAGTGAGAGAGAGAGATCGCGAGCTGCTGCTGCTGCTGCTGTTGCTGCTGCGGCGGCGGCCATGGCGGGGCGGAGAGGAGCCCTGGAGCGGGTCTGAGTCTCGCTCTCCCCCCCCCCCCCCCCCGCCCCCTTTCTCCTCACACCACACGGTGCGGCCGATGCCCGGGGAGGTCGGAGGAGACGACGACGGACGCTCCGGTTTGAATTAGGCCCCACCCCACACCTCTCTGTGTGTGTGAGTGTGTGTGTGTGTGTGAGAGAGAGAGAGGGACAGACAGACAGAGACAAGACACCGAGGTAGAGTTTGTGAAGCGGCCGCTCTTTGGCGTCGAAAGGCCCGGTTGGTTTTGCGACTTGAGCCCGAGGAGCCCCTGCCCCTCCTCGGGCCCCCGGGGTGGGGGGGGGAGAGGGGAGGGGAGGGAGTGAGTGAGTGAGTGAGGAGGGGAGTCCGCCGCCGAGGGACCCCGCGGGGGGTAGGGGGGGATGAGGGAGTACAAGGTGGTGGTGCTGGGCAGCGGCGGGGTGGGCAAGTCGGCCCTGACGGTGCAGTTCGTGACCGGGACTTTCATCGAGAAGTACGACCCGACCATCGAGGACTTCTACCGCAAGGAGATCGAGGTGGACTCGTCGCCCTCGGTGCTGGAGATCCTGGACACCGCCGGCACCGAGCAGTTCGCCTCCATGAGAGACTTGTACATCAAGAACGGGCAGGGCTTCATCCTGGTGTACAGCCTGGTCAACCAGCAGTCCTTCCAGGACATCAAGCCCATGAGGGACCAGATCATCCGCGTCAAGCGCTACGAGAAGGTGCCTCTCATCCTGGTGGGCAACAAGGTGGACCTGGAGAGCGAGCGGGAGGTGTCGGCCGCCGAGGGCCGGGCTCTGGCCGAGGAGTGGGGCTGCCCCTTCCTGGAGACCTCGGCCAAGAGCAAGACCATGGTGGACGAACTGTTCGCCGAGATCGTGCGGCAGATGAACTACACGGCGCTGCCGGATAAGGAGGATCAGTGCTGCTCGTGTGCCCTCCAGTGAACACAAAGCGAGAACCTCGCACCCATGGCCATATTGGAACAGGTGAGGACATGACAAAACCAATGGGGCTTCTTCTTCTCCCCGCGCCTCTCTCTTGCCCCTCTCTTACCTAAGGCTGGGGCTTCAGGTGGAGAGAGGGGCAAGAGAGAGGAGAGGGGTGGGGAGAAGTTGGGGCTTTAGGTATCTAAAGTGCAGCATCACACACACACACATATATATACAGTCAAATCACTTTACAGTATATTCTGTGAAGTGCTTTGAGATGTCTCAAAGACGTGATAAGGTGCTATATCAAATGCAAGGATTATTATTATTATTATCTTCCCGATGACCTTTCAAGGTGGTGAACGTGGAGTCTGCTTTATTGGTAACTTGTTACCCCCCCCCCCCCCCCCCCCCACCCTGCCTGTGGCTGATCCCACTTGTTTTTTCAAGAGAGCGCAGTTGTTGTTAAGCCGGGTTGAAGCAGTGATCTGCGGCTTCAGAAAGAATCGCCAATTGTCCCAATTAAATAACGCTCATCAATCAAGTGAGCAAGCTCTTTGTGTGAAATATGACTTCCATGATCTGAATCTATTGGCTTTTAATATGATGGCTACACAGTGACAGTAAAGACCTTCCTCCTTTTATAGCACCTTACCATGTTTAAACGTCTGTGTTCACAAGTAATTTCTGTTAAGAGTGCTGACTTTTTTATAGGCAAGTGTGACACTCACTTGTGCCAGCAGCAAGGTTTCACAAAGGGTAGTAGGTAAATGTCCAATTAAATTGGAAAATTATTGGCAAGCATAATGGAAAAAAAATCTTTTTTAATTGGAATTGGATCTTAGTTTAATTCTTTTTAATAAAGAAAACGGCACCTTTAACAATGCAGTGCGCCCCAGTAATACACTGGAGTGTCAGCCTAGATAATGAGCTCAAGTGCTAATGTAGGGCTTAAATCCACAACCTTCTGAAGTACCATATAACTAAATGTTCAATGAATGGTTGGATTTTTTTTAATATTTCAGTATCTGTTATTGTTTTAACAAAGCACTTCGTAATGCACTCGATAAAGATGGCAATTGAATGTTGTGGGGCTACAATCAAGTCATGTTGATCTACAGCAATTTCTTATTACAGTTCTGACTAGTGTAACCCTATTTGTAGGTCAATGCATAGCCTATATAATTTCTAGTATTATACCATAATCTTTACCTGAAAGTGCGAAAAATAATCATTTTTCCTGAAGCTACTGACTTGTGTTGGGGTGTTTTCTTGTTTTGGGCATCTCTTCAATATCTTGCACAAGTGTTCATTCTTCATGCATGAACCTAAACCGTGAGATTGTTTGACTGTGTTGGAAAGTGAGAAGAAGAAACCGTAAGCGAGCCAAAATTTGTATACATGTGCTTTTAACTGCAGAAGGATCCACATTAGGAATCCTGTTCAAATTATCCCAATTCTTGCATTGCTCAGATCAATTGTAGCATTTCCTCCCCTACTTGAACTGAAAGTGGCTACTAACTTGCTCCAAACCAGACATTGAACCTGGAAATGTGATTGTCTCTATGAGCTCGATGTCATTCTGGCTGGCATGCATCGAAACAGTAGTGGGGCAGGAATTGTAAAAATATCTTATTGGACTTTTTTGGCCATAATTTTGGAACATAATAGTGATATAATAGTGAAGAACACGGCTTTATGTTGCTATGGCCAGAGTCACGCATGACATTTTGTTCTACTTTTTTGGTAGGAACAGCACTGGTAGAAATAAATTGATATTTTGGTTCTGGTGGTTCACCAGAACCAAAATATCAATTTATTCTACCAGTGCTGTTCCTACCAAAAAAGTAGAACAACCTCTTTTTTAACTGAAAACAATTGCTTTGGTAACAGTATGTGCAAAGTCTTGTGAGGAACTGTTTAAAAAAAACAAGCTTAAATCATTATTTAATCGTTCCTATAGCTTTCAATAAATGGCTTTCTGCTGTACGTATTTAGCTGCCAACTTTCCTCCTGAAGAATCCTACATCTTTATTTCAGAAGGATGTGTTGTAAAACTTTGAAAGGTCTAAAGGAAAAGGGTTGTTGTATAATTGAACTTTTGTGTTCGAGATATCTTTTTTAAAAAAAGGGCAGTGTTTGACATTAACATATTAGTATGTCGTCCAACCACACAGATAGTGATCTTACTGTTCTGAAGAGAACCAGAGAGTTGAGAGAGGAGTAGTTAATGTTTCATCAAAAGGAAGGAGTATTTAACCACTGATGTTTGCCCACTTTCCTGTCAAAGAAGTGATGAGAGGAGAAGCTAATGGGAGGGCGCGTACTCCTTTACAAAATAGTTTAGGGAGAGAAGGGGATAGCATTTCTGCAAAAATCCAAACACTTTCTCAAGTGGGGGGAGGGTGTCACTTCCTGCAAGATCTTCTTAGCTATTGTACCAAGTGCTCTGAGATGCCTTCCGGGGTGGAGGGAGCTATATAAATCCAAATTGTTGTTGTAGCTATTAAAAGCCAAGCATATTAAATTTAAAGTTTCAGCCTTGCAGTTAGCTATGGTACAATTGCAAGATTGCAAAAGTATTAATTGTAAGTTTTTATTATTATATGCATAATTTCTAAGATTTTATTTATAATGCATTACGGGCTTTTTAATTATTTTAGAGGGTAAATTTATTGATTGGGAAGATCCCAGGTTTGATCTCTGGTATGCAATAATTTTGCTGTTCTTAGTTGGGCAACTGTAGGAGTGGTACAATTGTTCTCTGCACCATGAGCTGGTTGTGCTATGTTTTCTGTTCCTTTTTGCCTATCCAGTGAAGTACACTTGAATGGCGAGTTGGGCTAACTTGTGATTTGTTAAAATTCTCCTCAATGATCAAATGGCATCCCAGCAAACCTCCTGGCTTTGTATGAAGACCGTTTACTTGGGTGAGGTCCTGCACTCCTGCAAGAATTGGCATCTTCAGGAGGGGAGGTTATTGGTGAGTTTTACAAAAGCACTTTAAATCCACATTACTATACCTTTTATAATAGGATGCATCACCTAATACAACTGGGTACATTCTGATTGAAACTTCCTCACAGATGCGACGAGAAGCTATAACAGTTCTCGTCTCAACAACCACAGCAAGGCAGCAGGAATTCTAAATTGCTTGTAATTTAAAGTGGACTGGGACGCTTCCCTATGCGAAGGGTGCTATATAACTGTAAGTTGTTGTTTTAATTACAAAACTAAATTATTAGATTGAATTACTTACTATTCCCAACATCAATCATACATTTGTAGAAGTTCAACCCTTTTATGAATCACTGTTGCAAAAAAAATGTGGAGAAAGAAGAGAAATTGTGCCAAAAATTGGCTTGAGAGAATATCTAGCCCAGTGTTGTGGTTACTTGGTAATCAAACTTATAGAAAGAAAAAGTATTCGGAAATAACCCATTTACTAGTTAAGCCAATGTATTCTAATACTTCATTAGTTGTTTCCGCTAAACCTATAAATGGGTTTGGGAAAGCAAGTGAATAGAGGATATATATGGCCCTTCAGAAGTATACGCTACAGCATGTGATTGAACATTACAGTTTATTCAGCCTCCTGCAGTGTCATTGCTGCACATTGATTAACTGTTTGAGAAGTTCGTTGTAAAATGTGTGGTGACCTGTGGTTAAATAAAACCGACAGACGTATCAAACTAGATATCGTTGCAATTCTGTTTCAACAGGAAATTACTTTTGAATACTGATAGGGTAACAGTACACAGGTAAAAGTGCAATGGTTCAACAACTACTACTTGCATTTATATAGTGCACCTCCCACAGGGAAGCTTGACGGTGGCTGAGCCAGGAGCTGGGGGAGGGGGGAGGTAACCGCAACACGGTTGAAGAGGAAAGTCTTCAAAATAGATTTACTCAGGTTTCTGGGTTTGTGACATACTTTTCATAAGCTGATTTTGATGTTCTCCCAAAGGGAGTATTATTTGCTCTTGTGAATGTTTAAACAGCAACTGTGAAAATGGGGGACTAACATGAAATCAAAATGTTGTGAAACATTGCAAAAAAGGCAAGTACAGATCAGTGCAAAAGATTTAACTTTGTAAACAGCTCCCTTATAATTCCAAGAATGTTCTAACATGTCACAGCAATGGGGTGAGATGCAGGTCTGTACGTGTGCTTTTCCCTCATGTGGTGAGCTTCTGATCTGAATCTTGTGGAAGTTAAGCATCGTTTCACAGGAGAAGATGGGAAATACCAATTGGCCAGCCAAGAACCATGGACCACATTCTTCCCAGCGGCTAACGATGGTGAGGAAGGAAGCCAGGCACTCGCGTATGCTCCTATATGTTTAGAAGCATAGTTTAGAAAATGGGTAAAAATGTTGCAGTTTTTTTTTAAAAAGTCAAATTAGTTTCAGTAGTGCTGTGCAGAAATTAACTGGATTAATGGATTTAAGTGTTAAAACTGGTCCGTCACAGCAGACCAGTGCTGTGAATCAGCAGCCATGATTCAAATATTCCTACAAATCCATTGGATTTTTGATTTACAACAACTTAGGACTGAATCTTTTATCAAATTGATTTACATTACAAGTATTATTACTATAGACTTTGGCTACTCCAATATCTTGTACTTGGGAACAAATTGAGATAGGTTTATACATATTTGATTTATGATCCAAATTCTTTTTGACCTGTAGAAAGGTGGACTAGTTAAGTGCAAGCAAGATGGAGCCATGTAATTATCCTCCCATGTATAATCTGTTAATTTTTCTTACAGTGTATGGCCTCACAACTATCCTGAATTGTGTATTTCTCCTAAATATATTATCAAGCTTATTGTGGGTATTGTGGTGTTTTTTTTACTATGGTCAATTTTTCCAGAAATTAGCCTCCCCCCCCCCCACACCACCACCACTTATTCAACCATTGCTGTTGTTACTTCCACACAACATTTGTTCTTCCTCACAAGCCCAATTTTGATTTTTTTTTCCACTTCCTCTTATTAAGGTAAAAGTGCATTTCTCTCCCAAAATATATAGTCAAGTCACTTTACAGTATATT